ATATTGATAAGCTGAAGAGAAAAAAAAATACTGATCAAATTGAAAAGGAAATTTTGAAAATGTAAAATGCTATAGTTTCAAAACATGATTTATTAAGCATTTATCCTTATTAATCAAGTTAGAAAACATATTATGAAACTGAAAAATTTTACAGTTCTAAAGAATGTTATGAAACTGTAAAATTTTACAGTTTTAAAGCATGACTGATTTTAGTACAAAAAAAACTTGAAACTGCAAATTTTACAGTTTTGACCGGCTGTAACTAAAACTTAAAACAACTTATTCAAAACTTAAAAAAATTTTCTATTAAAACAGGAAAATAGAAGTGTATAACAGAGAAAAGGTAAAAAAATTGAGAAATCGAATGAGAGAAACAAATATAGAGAGAATATTGTACTCCGCCAACTATTTTTGGTTTAGATATAGTTGGATCTCATATGGATTTACTCAGATTTGATGTAGATCTACTCATCTTCTATGTCGGAAACTCGTCTCTTTCGCCGTCAGTGAGGATAAAGTACGAAGTCGATGGTCAGTAGTTGCTAGTAAACCCCAAGCAATGGTGGTTATCAGTCGCTGGTAACTATATATTAGAAAGAAGAAGAAAAAAAAGAAACAAGAAATGGTCGCCAGTCACCAGAAAATCATGAAGAGAATGGAGTAGAGAAGAACGATGCACGAAAAAGAATGAAGAAGAAAAATACGTAGTAGATTTTTGAGAGCATTCAAAAGGTTGTGAGATTAAATAGGTTTATTCTCTTTAAATAGGATTTCCAGGTCATTTACCTATGAAATAATATCATAAATGCGAATGAAACTAATCAAAAAGAAAAAAGTGAATAACGATTACTACCAAAATAAAGATAGCAACAAAAAGAAAATGTGTATATTATTTTTTTATATAATACATATCAACAATAGAAATAAGGGTATAATAGTTTTACAAATAATATAAATCAAGATAAAAAGATTTCATGGAATAAAAATATAAATACATGGGACTAGCTTCCTTGGTGGATTTATTAAGTTAGAACACCTCTAAATGACATTTATCAATAAAATTTTTTAAAAAAATTAATTTGTTTGAGAAGTTGTTACAAAATATTTTTTTAATAAAAAAGTTAACGTGGCATTTGATATTTTTAAACGGATAACAAACAGTCTAGTTTTTTTTTTTTTTTTTTTGGGCTGGACCCCAAATGATCTCTAAGCCCTCATTTGGCAGAAGTTAAATGGGGTTTTTTTAGCTAAAATAATCATAAAAGGTAAAATAGATTTTTTACTCTAATAAGATAAAATGTCACTTTTAAATTATAATCATTTTATTTTTTCTCTCACAAAAATTAAAAATATCAAAAACACTTATCCCATACGAGCCTTTTTACCCTAAACTAAAATATCCAAAAAAATCAACCCACGTTCCAAATTAACCCTAAGTAACTTCTATTGTCACACGCCAAATTCGGAGCAAGATCCGACACAAACTATTAGTCCAAAGCTGGGACAAGACTGATGTCTATGACAAGTCTTGCTTTGAATTTATGTGCCGTTTGACAATCCAATGTTTTAGAATAATCCTTGGGACCCCTTTTGGGGTCACCCCCTCACTCCTTTTGTCACGTGGCGGGTGGTGATTGGAGAAGCAGGAAAAAAAAGAAAATGTAACCAATGAGAGAGAGAGGGGGTCAAAGGGAGTGAGGGGAAAAAGAGGGATGAATCATTGTTGAATATTTTAATTTAAAAGTTAAAATGTTATAAAAAAAAATTAAAAAGTTAATAGATTATATAAAAATATCAAAGATTTTTTTTTTTTACTTTATTGCATGCATATTTTTTTGTAAAATTTCAAAAAAAAACACTTTAAACATATAATTTTTTTATCTCATATTTTAGTTAAAAAATCAAAAATTACTAAAATAATATATTCTCAAACAAGTCCTTTTTATTTGTTGATTTCTAGATTAGAGGAAGCCTCATTTGACAAATAATTTTTTTAATAAAAGCTCTTTTTTTTCTTTTCTTTTTTCTAGAACAAACAAGCGTAAAATGTAATTTTTTTTAATACTTAAATTAAATTATTTATTTTTATTTTTATTTTTATTTTTTTTTGTTAAATGCTTCAGCTTTTTAGCTTTTTAACTACACTTTTTTTTCTCAAAAAGCCCAAAAAAAACAAAAAGATTAATCTTTTAAGCATTGCAACCCTAGTATACTGTAGATAATGAGAGACTTTGATCCTATCTATTTCCTAAATAGTAAATAAAATAGTGCAGTGTCTTGATTTAGTACTAATAATTTACAAGTGTACAGTAGACTGCATTATTTGCTTTGTCTTCGTGACTTATAAGCTGCTCAATTTGTAAATTGCGCCAAACAGTACATACAAATTAAGCATAGTTTGAGAACAACAAATTTTAATTAAAAAGTCATTAAAGCAATTAAAAAAATCAATGATTCATTTCATTTTCTCAAAATTTTACACTTTTTTTTATTGTTATAAAAATTCAAAAAAATATTCCCAAATACTTTGTTATTTTTCATCTCATATTTTAACTCACTTCCCAAGCCAAACAAAACATAAGTTTATAAAATTTGAAAAACACATGATGTGTGAACCAAGTGTAACCTATAATCAATGAAGAGGACATATATGATATATTAATACTGTGTTTGGTGGAGGATTTGAGGAGAGATTTGAAAAAAAAAGAAAAAGAAAATGAGTGTGAAATTAGGTGAAATATAGGTATATTTTATTCACATTTCACCTATTTTTTTCATTTTTCTTTCTAAATTCCTCTTCAAATCCCCCAATCAAACACAGCATAAACCATTCAATTTAAAATTAATTGACAATGAGTGTAGCATAAGGGTGAGAAAACATTCAGGGTGCGTTTGTTTGGATGGGCTGGATAAGGGAGGATTGTAATCTATCGGACTATTAGTTCTAGGATATATTGTCCCAGGATTATTTGGTTGCACTAAATTTGTATCATATGTTTGTTTAGTCATATGATTAGATGTCTGGATTAGACTATTTTTAGTTATCCAATGTTTGTTTGGGATATTATGAAGAAGGATAAATGCTCAAATGACTATTTTATCATTTTCAATTATTTACTAAGTAAGAGTAATATTAAACATAGCTTTAATATTTTAATTTATTTTTAACTAGATTAAATAAAAATTTGTTTTATTTTATTTTTTGCACAATATTTAAATTATTTAAATTTATTATTTTCAATTAACTTAAATTTATAATTTATATTTTTTATTTAATATATAATTTTAAATTAACGACAATAAAAAAATAATTTTATTTAATATATAAATTAAATTTTCAACAACACTAAAAAAATTTAATTTATAAGGCCATAATTTATAATTTATTATTTTTAAATTAATTTAATTTAATATGTAAATTTAATTTTTTAACAACACTAAAAAAATTTAATTTATAAGGCCATAATTTATAATTTATTATTTTTAATTAAATTTAATTTATAATTTATAATTAAAATTTTTTATTTAATATATAATTTTAAATTAACAACACTAAAAAAATAATTCATAAATGTTCAAAAGACTATTTTATTATTTTTCTAATTATTTGCTAAGTAATAACATGGAGGATAAAATTAACATTTCACAAAATAATCCTATGAGATAACAATCCCATGATTTCTATCCTACCCTCCCCCATAGGATAGGATAATACCATATTTGTGGGACTAATAGTCCGGAATAAAAATTTTCAAACAAATAATGGACTATTAATCTGGTAAGACTAATAGTCCAATCCCACACCCTTATCCCTCAAAACAAACATGCTTAAGACCCCACTCTAATACTATGTTAAAGTATTCACCTTAAAACCAATTGAGAATGAATGAAAAAACTATTACATTATACCAACCAAACTTAGCCTCCGTTTGGGAAGTGGGTTGGCTTTTTGGCTTTTTGAATTTTTTGACTATTTTAGCTTGGGTTAAAAAGCTTGGTTTGGGAAGGACTTTTTGACTTTTTGACTTTTTGACTTTTTTGTGAGAGAAGAATGTAATGATTATATAGGTTGGATGTGATGTTTTGTTTGTTATGGTTAAAATAGCCTATTTTGTTTTTTGTGACTAAAATAGCAAAAAAAACCTGAAAAAATCATTGCCAAACACAGGTTTAGATAGTTTATATTGACGACGTGAGATTAAATTTAACAATACAATCTAAGATGAGAGAGAGAAGAAAAAGTAATAGAAGTGCGAAAATAATTTATAAATTTTCATATAAAAAAAATCAACTAAAATGATAGGACAATGACAATGTTTAAGTTATAAGCCGTAATGAAAAGTATTTTAACTGGATATGAAACAACCTTGCTTCATACACCCAGTGGGTCGCGCCTCCAGTGACGTGGCGCGCCCCCACTGGTCAAAAAAAAAAAAAAAAAAAAAAAAAAAAACAATTTTTTTCGGACCAACCCCCAGCTGACACCTCACTGGGTGTCACCCCAGCTGGGGGTAGCAAGCATTTTTCGGATACGAAAGCAGAATAAAATAAGATATCTTTTTGTATAAAAAGTTTATATAAAATTGATGATTATATTTCATTATCCCAGCAAGTGAGAACTTAAAGAAAAATAATAGTATGTAATTTAGCCCTACATCAAATATCAAATAAATAAATAAAATACAATTAAAATAGAAAAAATTACAAATCAATTGTAAGTTTCCAAAATAATTACATACTTGTAAAATAATTTACGATGTTAATAAGCAGAATTTGTAAAGTTTATTATTAATTTGAAATTTGTTTTCTTTCTATTTTCAAAATAAAATAGATCACAAAATGTGACCTAATTTTTTTTAATAAAAAAAATAATAAATTAAGAGTTCATTACATTTAATATTCTTATAATTTCACTAAAATCAAGTTGTCAATAGATGAAAAAAAAGGTGACATTATAAAATATATGATTAATTGTGACAATCAAAATCAACAAAATAAAATTGTGATGAAAGTGATTAACAAAAATAAATAAATAAATAAAAATTTGCACACCATTTCTGGACAACAAAATATGTTATATATTAATTAATTAATGTTGCCACAAAAAGGTCTCGAAACCACCGGAAATAACACTACTCTCGGCGGCGAAACACCCATGATCTTCGTCCAACCACCACCATTCCTCCACATCCACCACCGAGTCCACGTACACCAACTCACCCCTCGACTCAGCCGCCGACTCGTAACTCGTTCCCAAACTCGGCAACTCCACTATCTCAGTCAGCTCCTCCGTTTCCTCCGATGAAGACGAAGACGACGTCGTCGTCGGAACGCCAAGGTGGTCCATCGACGCGGCTTTGGCGGCGGCGGCTTGGACGTCACGTGGGGAGCACGTGTCGGGTCGGGGCAGGAAAGGGGCGAGTTCGGGGAAGTTGAGGATGGCCGACTTTCCCTTGACGGAAAGGGCGGCGACGTCGTGTGCTCGGGCCGCCATTTCCGGGTTCGAGAAGGTTCCGAGCCAGATCCGGGACTTCTTTCTGGGTTCTCGGATTTCGGATACCCATTTGCCCCAAGCTCTCATTCGGACCCCTCTGTAAACCGGGTGTTTGTTGTTGTTGTTGCTGTCCCTGTTCCTCTTGGGCCGGTTCTTCGGGTTTGGGTCCGGTGTTGTCGGGTTTAGGCAGGTGGAGGATGATGGTGATGATGGAGGAGGTGAGAATGAGTTGCTAGTGGACTCGGTCTCTGAGTTTGGTGCGTCGCTCATCATTGTTTACTGGTCTCACTCACTCCCTAGAGAGAGAGAAGCAATGAGGGGAATGTGTAGTGATTAAATATGAGAAGTTTTTTTTTTGAACTAATATGAGGAGAAGTTGATGAGAAAGGAAGGTTGAGACTGTATATATATATATATATATAGTGTGAGAGAGAGAGAGAGAGAGAGAGAGAGAGAGAGAGAGGGAGAAAGAAAGAAAGAAAGAAATGTAATGGGGGTTAAGGTGGAAAGTTTGGAGCAGATGGATTGAAGAAAGGAAGAAAGGGGGATGGTCAAAAGAGACTACTAATAAAGAATAAGAAGATCATGATGAAGAAGATGAAGAGAGAGAGAGAGAGAGATGGTAGAGAGAAAGAGGATCCACAATTAGTGGTGTCGTTAGTAGTCATAGAGTGAATATGCCTTGGATGAGAGGGGCTGTGTGGAAAAGATAGTGCCTCATAGTGGCTGTGTGGATGTAATGCCATTAGGAGTGCTTGGGTAGCCCAATTTAAAAGAGAGAAAGTTATGGAAGTAAAATGACATTCATAAGAAAATTGAAGAAAAAATAAGGGTATTCTAGTCTTTCATTAATTCCATCACATCCCGTCACTTTTGCATATCACTCCAAACCACAGGGGGTTTATGAGTACATTTATAAAAGTTAGAGAGGTAATATAGAAACGCACAAAACCACAGGGGATAAAATGTAATTATCCCAATTTTTTGTGTGAATGAAATACACGATGTGCCTGACAAAATAAATAGTTCGGATCATTAAAACAAAACCTGTAGTGGACCTCATGGGCCCAAACAGTGCCCTCCAATCTAGATTTTGAACTAAAGAGGATTTGCCTCCTATATATATGTATATGTATATGAATGAGTCTGAAACCCAAACTAATCCACCCAAATATTTTTGGATGGGTAGTTGTGTGGTGGAGATTAAAATTGTGTAATGTGGGGTTCACATATTAAATAAATTTGAATCATAAATGATAATTTAGGATAATTTATGGATATTTAAGTTTCAGTTCGTAGTATTACTGTGGGCTATTTTGGGAAAATGGTTAAAAGCCATCTTTTAGCTTTTAACCCATTTTGGATCACATCATCTCTCACATTTTTTACATGTTTTTTCAAAAAAATCAAAAAAAAAAAACGAAAAATTAATTTTTAACCAACTTTTCAAAAAAAGCCACAATTAATTACAAGCAACTTCAATAATGGTGAAGACACCACAAATAATTCAAAGTCCGATAATGCTACGTACCTCAAATTTTGTGGCTCAAAAGTGGCTCAAATGGCCAAAATGACGTCGTTTTGGCCATTTGAACCACTTTTGAGCCACAAAATTTGAGTTACAAAAAAAAAATTATTATTTTAAAGAATTTACTTTTTCAATTCCTCTATTTCAATCTCCTTTCCAAGACTTTCTAATTTTCTCCTCCATCTCAATCCCATCTTCAAATCTATAAACAAACACAACATAAATAAATTTTATCCCCATCCTAATCTCATCCATCTATATCCAAAACAAACGGCGCCTTATTACTTCCAACAAGAGTCGACCTAAGAGGAAGGGATCGCATAGGGCTAATGCTAAAATGGTCACAGCTGTCACCAAACAGAAAATAATAATAAAAAAAAGACAAATTATCATAACACTTTTTAAATTTTTTTATTTATTTTTGGTCTAATACAGATTCTTTCGCATTTAAAAAATTATATTTATTTTTTATTAGATTAAAATAATATATTTATGCTTTTATCTTTTATACTTATAAAATAATAAAATAATACAGATATTTCACTCATATCATTTCAAAAGAAATAATAATAATATTTTTTTGTTTAACTCATACAAAAATTAAAATTTTTAATTTCATTTTTAAATTTTTATTGAATTTTTAATATTTTAAGTAATTTGTTTATTTTTTAAATACACCTAATCTAGATATACTTAAAAAGTATAATATTTTGTGATTTTTTTAATTCACCAAATATAAAAAAATACAAAAATTTAATATATTATCTTACTTATTGTATTTAATGGTTTTTTTTTTAAATTATACATATTTAATACTTTTTAAATATGTTTAGGTTAAATTGATCTAATTAGATACAATCGTGGAAATCAAAATGAAAAATTATATTTATATATAAAAATTTATATAAAAAATATCATAAAATTATTGTAATAGTGATATTGTTGTAAATATAAATCATGTTTATAGGTGTTTTATTTTAAAGTCAAATGTCACCATTAAACTATATCATTGTGTTTAAAAATTTTATATGAAATTTATGTTTGTATATATATTCACTCAATAAGAATATGTTCAAGTAGAATTTAATGATTGTAGAATGTAGTCAGAATAATAGAAAAAATAAATGATAGAAAAAATGACAAGATGGTCATTTAAAAAATTTTAGTATATGACATTAGCAATTCATAGAGCAATTTGTAATGAGATTATAAATCTCAAAAAGAAAAATGTAATTTTTTAAATGTAAAAAAGATATCTATATTAAACAAAAATTTCAATGTAATTTACCCAATAAAAAAACTTGCATTGCTAAAATCCACTTCCTTTTCACCATCGTACATTGTATTTTAAGAAAAGAAAAATAATATGAATTTACTTTTATTGATTCATAATTTATCTCAAATGTAGTTGTATGATAAAAATTAAATTGATAAAGTTTAGGATTTATGAATGAAATAAATTTAAACTATTAAATTTTTTTGGGGGGATAAATTTTAAGGTTATATGTCTGAATTTGTAATGTTATTGGTATTTTATATATGAATTTGGTTAACAGTGTCCTAAAGGCATTGATTAATAATGTTTAAATTAATTGTATATTACATGTTATATATGCATTTTCATACATTATGTACAAACATGTCAAGTGTCCTAAGGATACTTAGTAAGAAAACTCCTTAAACATAAATATATACTTGAAGAAAACATTTAATTTTTTTTTTTATATATACAAATGTAGCACGAAGTTAAAAATTTATGGGAAATTTCAAGAGGTAATTGCACCCCAGTGAGATTTTGGAATTTTTTTTTTATAAATTTATGAAAATATTTACAATTTTAATTATTAATATTTATAAAATTTCTCAGTAATTTGTAATTTTTTTACAAAATTACACTGATTTGTCATTTTTTCAAATTTCAACCAAGTAGATATTTGAAAAAATAATTATAAATAAATGATAAATTTTATAAATATTACTAAATTTAAATCATAATTTTATAAAATTACTATTGAATAGTAATTTTTCTAAAATTTTAAAAACTAAAAAAGATACCCACTTAAATAATTAAAAAAACTATTGAGAAATTCATTTTTAAGGGTGTATGTCATTAGATTTAAAGATTATTTTTTATTTTTATTGTAGAAACATAATTAATAAAATTGTTTGATGAAAAAAAAATTATTGTTTAAAAATTATTACTTTTTTTCATTTTTATTCCCTATTACCAAATCGTCGTTTGCCGAAAAAGTTACCAGATGTGACCAACGACAACGGTGGCAGTGACTAATGGTGGTAGTTGACGGTGGCTGGGGTGTTGATATGGACATATATACTTAAATTAGACAAATAAATAAGTGATCATAGAGAGATAGTAAAGTGAATAAATATGCAGTAATGGATAGACAAACAAATATAGATGAGTATTATAATCTTTTATGTTTGTATAATTCAAAAAAAAATTAAATTAAGTGTATGACCCGAATGCTTTAAATAATCTAATAAGGATAATTCAACTATCACATTCGAGATTAAAAAACTTAATATAATATATTAATTTCTAAAACATTAACATCCTAATAAGTTTTTGGCTTTAATGGTTAAAAAAAGATTTCTTGTCACTGTACTTTCTTTTCTTTTCTTTTTTTTCTTTTTTCATATACTTTACTTTACCTTACCATTTCTGAACATTCATTTGACTTTTTTAAGAAAAAAGGCTAATTCAAGCGGTAACAACCTTTTGAATCGAATCAAGGAGTTATTTGGAAAGATTTAAATAAGTATATTTTTTATTTCTTTATAAAAAGATGTACAAAAATATAGAAAGATGATGTGATTCAAATAAAAATATTTATCTAAATAAATATATTTATTTAATTTATTTTAAATAGTATCTAAAAATATGAATTTCAAGTTTCATCGAGCCCTCCTTCTAAGTTAGGATATATCTGTATATTGTAAATACTAAATAATATAAACTTCTCACAGAAAAAAAAAAAAAAAAATTGAACTTTATTCAGTTTGTTATAGATAGTGATGTACGTTATGATGAGGCAATAACGCTTCTCTATTCACCCAACACTACATCCAATTTGAATGTGGCAAATTAAAATGACCCTACTTTCTGTTTGGGAAGTGGGTTGGCTTTTTGGTTTTTTGACTTTTTTGAGTTTTTTTGTGAGAGAAGAATGTAATGATTATGGGTTGGATGTGATGTTTTGTTTGTTATGGCTAAAATAGCCTATTTTGTTTTTTGTGGCTAAAATAGCCAAAAAAGCCCAACCAACTTCTTCCCAAACGGTGCCTATATATATATATTCTTTCATCTCTAAAGTAAACACATTTCCCATTTTAGTATTTTTAAAAAAAAGGAGAATTACCATTTAGTGTAATCTCATAAACTTATTACAGATTTATAGAAAATTTTATCATTTTAATTATCAATATTTATAAAATTTATCACTTATTTATAATAATTTTTCAAAACATGGGCTGAACTGAAATTCTCCTTTAAGAAAAATACTACTCACATTGGTTTCGAATTTTTTTTTACAAACTCTCAGTTTGATCTGATTACTAACTCTCAACACAATTAAGGGTAATTTTAGATCTTTAAAAATTAAAATTTCCACTCTGATCTCTAGAAAGAAATATATATATATATATATATATATTAAATTCTCACAATCTTTAAAAAATTAAAGTTATTTAACTTTGCACTATATTTCGAGACACAAACTCAACGCAATCTCAGAGCCATGTAAACCTCAAAACCATATCCAAACTTGGCCAATCGGAGTCTGAAGGCTGGTAGACGGGACCAAATGGTGGGTTTATATAGAGAATAGGGAGGTGAATGGGACAGGGAGGATCAGGCTGTGATTCCATATTTTAGTGAATGACGTGACATATTGTGA